ACAATAAGAATAACAATGAATGTCAGTTACTTGTGCACACAGCGTATACAGTACTTGCAGGGTTGGGATTACTTATGGAAATAGGGGTAAGGTACAGAAAACTCTTGACAGCATCACACCTCATGGTGTACAGATGAAGTGCACCATAATAATGCGGGGTTAGAGTATACATGTACAGAAAAATGTGGTGCAAAAAGTTGTGTAGCTGTTCAAAACTCTTTGCTGAGAGTCAAATGCAAAAGCTGAAATGAACAGCAGAAAGTAATTATATCCATTGAGATCACATGGGAGTTAATGTCTAACTTCTAGAATAAATATTAAAACCCACAGTGGCTAGGTTGCCAGCGTTTCTGTACTGTAATGTTTTTGTTTTCTCCCTTGACCACATGCACCATATTATCTTTATGTTACCAGCTTGGAGCTGCTGAAATGTGGAGCTGAGCTGCAATCTGTCACAAGGAGAAGCCCACTCTAAAACTATGATTTTTATGCACTTGTGAGGTGACATTTCCCTCCCAGATTTGCACACATTCTGCATATGTTCGCATATGTTTTCACCACGTGCTCTTGTTTATTCTCACCTTCCAAAGGCATGCTGGATAGGTCATTTGGTGTCTCTAAATTGTGTGTACAGTATGTGCATGTGCCTGGTGTTTTGCATTGCACCCTGTGCCTGTTGGGTTTGTTTCCAACATTTCACAACCCTTTATAGTAGTGATGTCCAATCCTGCTCTTAGTGGGCTGGTGTTTACAAGTTTTGTAGGTTTTTAAAGCTCCAGTACCTGTAGTTAAATTGGTCCAATTAACTGGAATGGAAACCAGCATACTGTACAAACATGCCCTCCAGGACCAGGTTTGGACACCACTGCTCCATAAGGTGAAGCAGTTAAAAGCATATTATTTTTTGTTTTATTTTATAGATTAATCTTTAAATCTTTCAACAGAACCATGAGGCATTATATAGACACTATATGAGACAATAAATATATTGGGAATCTCATTTTACTTGTTTCTTTGAGTGAATAAAAGTAATTTTTTGTATTTTCAATACAGACTTCCATTATAAATTTTAATGAAAATGAGAATCAAAAATTCTAAAAGTGTTTTTATTAGCTTTCTTTAAACCTGATTTTAATCAAACTAAATGCCTTGACCCACTACGAGACTATGCTAAAAAATAGGTGCAACAAAATGAAAGTTTTTACATCCGTCACGATTGCCGGGTAAGACTCCTGTGAAGAGTGTAGCTAAGACCCTACGCGAGGCAGCAAATCCGGAAAGGAGTTGGAGACGGACTTCAGGGAAGACACAGGTTTATTAGTGCTCACAGTGGTAACAGGGGAGTCCGTGCAGTAGTGAAGGGTAGGTATCCTATAGAAACCAAATCCAAGCGTGTCCAAAGGGGCATCAGGAAACAGTCCATAGATCCATTACCGGGAAATCCATCCAGAGACAAACAGGGACAAGAACACACATAGAACAGGAACTAGGGATTACAGGGCTTCGCTCCATGCTCTGGGCTCAGAAGGTCAGGGTGACTATAACAGGCCTATGCATTCAGGCTTCCCATGAACCCTGGTAGTAAGCAGGCCATCAGGCAACCATCTTCCAAAGCTGAGCCCCGAAGGCACGAGGAAGTAAACATAAATAGGGAACCTTACCTAGACACACAAGGAAGTAACATAAGTAATAATTTAAAGGACTACCAAGAGGGGATTGGAGCGCCCTCTGGAAGAGGGGATGCCGACCGCAACAACATCAGAACTTTGACAAAAACAAAGTTATGTTGATTGGCTTTCCATATCAGCTCTACAAATGTGTAAACCTTAATCTGACTATTGATGGTCTTCCATTCAGTCCACATATTCAGGTCAGGAATCTTGGTGGCAAAGAGTCTTACTTTTGACGTTCATACAATATGTAGTGTTGCAAGTGTGTCTATTGTTATCTTCATAACATCGTATGACAACATTCACACATTTCCTCCACTCTAATGCAGAAAATCTAAGACATGCTGAAGTCTGTTCCAAGCTAAATTAGTCTCATTCCATACTGTAATTTCAAAACATGTTCTCCACAGCTTGCTGCATGTACAAAACTCAGCTGTTCATATTTAAATTAAAGCTAACATAATTAGTACATTTCACCTGTTTTAGATTCCTTGCAGTGACAGCCTTGGGAAATTAAATTTTAAAAACATGTGCACACTTTTACGGGCTTGAACTCTTTGGCATCAGTGAACTCTGATCTCCCTGTATGCCTATAAATCATTTGCACATTTTGGACTTGGCCTTCTTTCAATTCCCAATATGAGGCTCAGAATAGTCCATATTCTGCATTCTGTATTGATTAGTATATCAATTTTCTGTGTCTTTTGATTTTCTGTCTCTTTTGATAGTACTAAACGTTTTACATTTGACTTTTGACATGACCAAGGTATGTTGCCTTGAGTTGATGATGATGTGACGTAAAAGGCACTACATAAAATAAAGGATATTATTATAGCATCCTGCCACATTCTACTCATAAAGCCTGGACAAGTACTGTATGTGCTAGTTCACTGGTTTTTGAGTTCTAGATGCCACGTTACCACAGCTCATCCCACCTGTGTTCAACAGAGCTTAAGTCTGGCGAGTAGGAAATCCATGAAATAACCATCATAATGTAATCTGTTATGAAAGCCACTCTTACACAAGTATCATGGGGACATGTATTGTCTTGCCAGAATACTGTCACATCAGGATGAGCCAAGAGGAAGGGAATTTCATCATTGTAGTGTTGGACATTCAGGCTTCCATCACTCACTACAAGCAAGGTCCTGTAGTGACTTGGCCATCGTATCGAGACCTCCACACTAGGATGAGGATGTGTCTGATCAGGAGAAGTGTCATAACTTGTGGTCTCCCAGATTGTGGATTATCATTGACTGACTGTGCTTGGCTGTAACATATTGCCAGGTCAGGATTTGCTGGCTGTGAACAGCCCAGATGGCAAACGGCAGTGGAATGACTAAGCCAGCCTCCACTATATCAATGGCATTATACACTTGATAGACAGAACAAACTGATTCTTTTCTGTATTTTTCTTTTTTGACTTTCACCTGTCCTGACATTTAACAGGTTAAGTCACTAGATTACCTATGCCCACTCATCTCTCTCACTAATGAGTTGAATTAGTGATTATGCATGTCAAAGTCACTCATGTTTCATGGTCAGACGCAAATGATCCATCAAAATAATTCCAAAACCATTTAATCAATATCTAAAATTCATATACTTTTTCAGTAAAAAAACATGACATGTATGAAAAGAGTGACAGTTGTCTTTTGATGCTCAGTATGCTGCTTAGTAAAAAAACAGTTTTGAAATGAAAGATCTCAAAATCACACAATCTAGAGATAAGAAGTAAACCCCTATTTATGTAGTGAATACTTTTTTCTATAGTTGAATTTATCTTTATTCACTTACCACTGGAATATATATTTTACATACCAGTGAAGCAGAACTTTTATAGTTCATAAAAAAAGAAACCAAGATAATTTTCTAATGCATTTACATTTACACAGATGTGTAATTACTTTTCTGTAGGGAGGTATTTCTCAAACTTTTTTGTATCAGAGAAAATCTCCCCAAGGTCCTTCTCAGTTTAGGGACATTTAAAAACAAAACAGTGGAAGTAAAAAAAAAAGTATCCATTATAGCAGTGCCTCACTGGCTCTGTCTGTAATGTCCCAGCAGGGAGCACTTAGCAGTGCTCGTGGGACTGGAGATTAAGAAACATGGCTGTAGGGACTGTCTGTTTAAAATTCAAGCATGCAGGAATTCAAACATAAACACTTTTCTACAAGGAGGACTTTCTTCATGTATCACATCACCAGAGTCAACACACATGTATCTCACAGAAGTCCCTTGCTTTGCTGAACTGGCATGGAATTGAATAGGGTGCCAGTTTAATTGAAATTCAATATAACTATCTTTCAAAAGACAGTACAATCACATTTCCACACAATACATTCTCATAATGATGTGTATGCTCAATAAATGTAACTAAATAAAAAATCCTGTCTCCCTCCCGTTCTCTGAATCTAACAGTGATTCAGTGTTCTTGTTCCACAAAAAATGTTTAAATTGCTTTGCATTTACTCCTGCTTGATTAAAAAAGAAACATGTATCATAACTTCTAAAAAAAGATCTTGTTGACAGCAGCATTACCACACTTCCTCCTTAACTGAACTGGTGAATCAATTTCTCACTTCTTCACCTGATCTGCTATGTAGTGGGGCTGCTTGCACATGTCCCTGATACACGTCACCCAAGACTAGCTATGAGTCACCAAATAGCTAGATAGGCTGAATGGCGTCATCTCATTTGTAACCTTTCTTTTGTTGACACATGGCAGCCATTATGTGTAAGCAGTCCATTTTGTTAAGAAATTAGAAATTATTTCACCGGTTAAGATTACATTTAATTTCGGGAAGATTGTGCTAGCCAAGATAAGGTGTTTTCTTATCTTTTAAGAGTTTCTAAATACAATTATATCATCACCAACAGTAATAGAAACAACAGCAACAGCATTATTATTACTTTAAATAATAACAATAATGGCAACACAGGAAGAACTCCACATGGATAACATTGATCCAAAAACCCAAGTGCTGCAGGGCAGCAATACTAACATCCGTATCACTGTGCAAGTCTGCAAGCATTTGCAAATTTTCTAAGGTTAAATATAAACATTATGTAAATAAAGGAGAGAATGGATACAAGCAGTACATGGATGTTAACTTTTTAATTTCAGAATTAAAAATTAAATTATAATTATTTTATGGTACTTCCACACAATTTGGAATTGCTAATTGTGCCAATGTTATGTATTATTATTATTATTATTATTATTATTAGGGAGTAAATGTGCTGTATACAACATGAGTGTAGGTAATTAACATCATTTAATTTTAAATTCTTTACTCCTTAGAAAAGCATGGACAAAGTTTCACTTACCCACACACTCTCCCATATTTCTTTATCAGTTCATTGTGTGCATCCCAAAAACCCTGTAAAACAGCATAAAAATAATACAGGACAAAGTGCACAGATGTATTACAATGTGAAAAGCAGGAATTCCATTACCAACCCCCCATTCCACCCCCTACCCCTGCCTATCACACACCATCTCCCTCCAATTTAAAAGTAAACAATAGCAATAAATGTGTATATCCGTGTAACAGAAACCTCCACAGCTACAGCTATTATGCATTGCATCAGCAAACGTAAACTTTACCAGGCTGCATATCATTTACTGCATATAAGTTTGATTTTGTATCATTATCAGAACACATCTACTTTGTGTTAAACTGTAACAGTGTTGATATTGAATAATGGATTTGAAATGGGCTTTTGTTTAATAATCATTCTATGAGAAATCCATTTTTTCTTTGCAAATGGCAAAACTTCTTTTCCACTGCATTCACATTTATGAAAGGCTTTCAAAACGTCCACGCAGCCAGGCTCAAAATAATCATCATGAAAGAATTAACAGACCTTCTTCTCAAAACAATGCCTATTCACTGACCTATAAATTGCAATTCTGAGGTGATAGCTGCAGCAGAATTGTGTAATGTGAGGAGTTTATGAGACTATAACAGAGCTCCTGGTTTCATTGCCTTTTAAAAATGTTTACCTTACTTTTACTGTTTCACAGCTCATTGATTTTTGCCTCTCCATTCTTTCAAATATGTGACATTTAAACATATCATAGATCATTTAATACAATTATGTGAATTACTGCAGTCTCTGGGTGTCAAACATAATACAGGGAGAACAAGCACTACCAAAGCATGTTTTTTGTATTAATGTATTGATTTGCTATATTGATTTACTCACACAGCTTTAGCCGACAACTTACCTTGACTTACATTCATCACATACAAATTCTATGACAAATCATCTACCTTAAATTTTGGGAACACATGACATTAAATAGCTAATGCTTAACCAAGACCTGGTTTGAAACAATACAAAACTTGATTTTCAATTTTTAAGTATTTATATTTGGTATCATTCCAGTGATCTTATTAAGTGAAATTAAAATACATGAAAAAGGCAGAAGAGCATTCTGAACGTCTTAGGTTTACAAATCAAATTTTATTAAGTGTATTATTAAAATATTCTTATTGTGTGTTAAAAGTTTTCACTATTTCCTTTCACCTAGTTATTTTCTGGTTAGTACATAGCATTAGACAATGCAAGTCACTAAAATAAGGCAATACAGACAGATAAGTCAGATAAAGCAGGAAATCTCATGTGTTATACAGTACATGGGTGGTCCTTTTGCAGCATACACAGTATATTACTGAATAGACTTCCTCTACTTCAGGTTTGAGTGCTATCCAACCTGACATAACTCCCAAAATAAAAAATAGCTTAACACAAAGCAAACGAAAACTTAATTTCTTTGTCATTTTGGCAGGAAGTAAAATAAAAAGGGACAAAAGCAAGAATTCTATGTGGGCCTTCTAGACCCGTGGTTCTCAAACTATGGTACGCGAAGCGCCCCCAGGTGGTACACCAGATGAACTTGAAAATGTGTTGTGTGCACTGAAAAATTGGGACGGTTTTCATATTTTCTATTTTAATAAAATTAGTTTATGTGCCAAATACGCAGCCTACGTACAGTACTTAGCTACGTCACTACAGAGCACGCTAATACTTGAGTGGACACAATAATAATAATTGCTTACACTTATATAGCGCTTTTCTGGACACTCCACTCAAAGCGCTTTACAGGTAATGGGGACTCCTCTCCACCACCACCAATGGGCAGCATCCACCTGGATGATGCGACGGCAGCCATAGTGCACCAGAATGCTCACCACACATCAGCTATCAGTGGGGAGGAGAGCAGAGTAATGCAGACAATTCATAGAGGGGGATTATTAGGAGGCCATGATTGGTAAGGGCCAATGGGAAATTTGGCCAGGATGCCGGGGTTACACCCCTACTCTTTTCGAGAAACGCCCTGGGATTTTTAATGACCACAGAGAGTCAGGACCTCAGTTTAACGTCTGCTCTGAAGGATGGCGCCTGTTTACAGTATAGTGTCCCCGTCACTATACTGGGGCATTAGGACCCAAATGGACCGCAGTGTGAGCTACAAGAGCTACTATGTAATTCTATACCACTGTATAGGAATGCGTGCTACAAACCTAAGTGACCAATTGTATTAAAAGAAGATATCTTTAGCAAATAGGTAGGTAGGAGAATGTGCACGATTTTGGAACACTGCCAATCTTGTAAGCACAGGAAAGCATCATAGATAGCAGAAAAATATTTAAGGTCGGTTCTAGGTTAATTTGAGAAAAATACACCAAGCATTTCTGTTTCGCTCCCATGCGCATGAAATAAAAACTTGTTTTAACTTCTGAGACAGACTCTTGACTGTCTTTTAAGGGGAAACGTGGAAAAATTCTCCAACAGCGCCACATTCGCCCACATAACAATTGTTCGAAAATGAATACCTTGCAAAAATCAAGTATTATGGCATGGCTGAAAGGAATAGATGCCAAGAGTACTGATCTTTCTGTCCTTTAAGCTGCTACCAATTAAAAGTATATGAGAGCACATACAGTATTTCAGCTTCTGAATGAATTTATCAAAGAGAATGGCATAGACTTGAAAAAATGTGTCAGAGTTTGTACAGACGGTGCTAGAGTTATGACAGACCGACACGGTGTAGTTGCATGAATTACAGAGGTTGCTCCCGATATGAAGTGAACACACTGCAGCATCCACTGCGAGACCTTGGCAGTCAAGAAAATGCCTGAGGATTTAAAATCTGTGTTAGACTCTGCTGTCAAAGTGTTGCATTGTATCAATGCTCGACCAATATGAATTAACATCTGTTCAGTGTGCTTGCTACATACTAAAGTCAGATGGTTATCAAGGGGCAAAGTGCTCACGAGACTCTTTGAGCTGCACTCCGAGGTACAAATGTTTTTGCATGACCAGCAATCTCCCTTGGCAAGTATATTTTATGATCCAGTGTGGCTGGTAAAAAAAAGCCTGCCTGGCTGATAGAGTACCTGTATATTCTCACATTTAAATGAGCTGAATATGGGACTGCAGGGCCTCTCTTTAACAGTTTTTGATACTGTATGTCTGACAAGATCACTGCTATGAAGAAAAATGTATGGTGTGGCACTTGATGCTGCTGCTGTTCTCGATGTGACTGCAGTACACCTCTTGTCATTGGAAGAACAGTTCTCAGAGTATTTTCCAGTTGAGGCCACACCAGAGTGGATCAGGAACCCCCTCATTATTGATGTCGTAGGAATACCAAAGAATCTGACCTGTGCTAGGCAAGAGAAGGTTTCATCTGATGCGACTTTGATGTCAGAATTGAAACGACAGTCACTGTTGGATTTCTGGAGCCAAAGACAGAGTGAATACCCAGCCCTCTCATTAAAGGCTGTGCGGTTTTTGATGCCTTTTGCTACTACCTACCTTTGTGAGAAAGACTTCTTTGCTCTCACTGAAATTAAGACAAAGTACCACAACAAAATGGATGCTGAGCTAGATCTGCGTTTGAAGCTCACTGCCCTTGTCCCTGACATTGCAAGGCTTTGCTCGACTAAACAGGCTCACCCCTCTCACTGAAATGGTAAATGCTCAGTGCTATTTTAATTATATGTGTGTGTGAGTGTGTGCGTGCGCACTCATGTTGGTTATTGAGATTTTCTGGGGTTCCTATGAGAAGCTGACTTGCAGGTGATACTTGGATGCTTTGGTTTGAACAGGGATGGTACTTAGTTCAAAAAGTTTGAGAACCACTGTTCTAGATCTTTTAGAGCCTTAAATGTAGAGAAATTTCAAATAAAATACTGGCATTGTAAATGTTAGCTTGAGTGTCTGACATTGAGGACAATGGCAATGAGATCTATCTGCCAGAATTAAAGGATGATGAAACTGGAAATTAGAAAGGTGCTGTTAAGATCTGTGGAGATCTAGAATAATCCTTCAATACATTCTTTGGTTTTAAAACTCGCTTTATTAACAAAATAAGATAATGACCAAATCTCAGCACTGTTCATCCCTTCATTTGACTCACTGTGAAACATTTTCTATTTGTTAAGTGGTATTTGCATAAAAAGGAAACAAATGAGAGGAGGTTATTCAGGTTTATTCATTGTGTTGCTATCAGCTGCATAATCCAAGACTGCCATCAAGTCAATCCTTATAAAAAGCTCACAGAATCTGTTTCATCAGCATTACTAAGGGGTTTGTTCCAAACTTAAACAAATCTCTATTCAAAGCATAATCTCCTGTTTTCTGTTATGAATCTTTCAAAGCTTAATTATCTAGTTGTGTCCCTACAGTATGTCCTCAATTAATTGCTGATCTTGAACATGTCCCAAGAATGATATGGACAGTACTCTTCAGGATTTTAAATACCAGCTTTAAATCACTTCAAATCACCTATGTTCTAGGTTAAATAGATCAGTTTCCTTTAATCTTTACACATTTACTATGGCATTCCTTTCAGATCAGGAATTACTCTGGTTTCTTCTTTATTTATTTATTTGGACGTTAATGTACTGCAGCTCTTACATTAAAGAACTTAATTTGGGTTATAATAGTCGGATGGCATTCATTTTAGGGTTGAAATTGCTGAAAAACAGACTTAAGCTTGGGTTACATTTCTATTCTAAGCAGTTTAATTAAGAGAGTGCTAACTAGCTTTAAGCAGTAACTTGGAATTGTAAACCATGTTAGTAACTAACCCGGGCACAAAAAATAAATATACTGTACAGTATAAGACCACAAAAACAATCATGTCTCAATTAATATCTCTGTATTGAGATTTGAGATCTGAGGATGTTGTAATGCTGATATATGAGAAATTCAATAAAATGTAAATCTGTTATACATAAAAGGAACAAAAAAGGGAAAAACTAAAGAGCAGAGCAACAATATCAGTGAATGCAAAGATATCACTAAATGAAGAAAGAGAGACTAACAGAGCAGCTCTACTGAAAAGCATTGTGTGGGGTATGAC